TTCTCGATATTAGAGCCAGCTTCGCCAACCTCAGTCGATGGATTCTGTGGACAGCCTCCTTGACTAGGGGTCGTGCTTAGCCTTCTCTTGCTATCGGTCGACGTGAAGCTCTTTTTCTTCTTTGCAGGTTTGGCATTGGTCTGCTCCTCCGGAGGCCTAATCCTCTTCGCCGCTTCCGAGGAAGTGGAGGGAAGGTCAGGCTTATCCTTCAGGGCATCCCGTTCCTGCTTGATTTTGTTTCTCCGGTTCATCCTGGCCAGTTTTCGCCTTTGTGCCCCAGATAACTGCTTTCTTTTTGTTGTGAGCTTTGCTATGTCCTTGCTCACTTCTTCCACCATTCTATCGGCCTCTTCTCTCTTCCGGCATTCTAGGACGGTTATGTCGGTCTTACCTTCTTGGTCAGACCCAGAGTTAGAATTCGAGTCCCCACCTGCCTCTGAAGGTTGGGTCAGGCTTTCGCCTCCCCGGTGGTGACTGAAGTCTACCTTATTTGTGCCTGCTGGCTGAGTGCTTGTAGCAATACCCTCGACTACAGATGCCAAGGCACCCACACCTGTAGGAGATTTTTGCTCACGATCGCTGGATGACGACGGGGCGTGACTCGTGGGCAGATCAACGACACCCGCCGGTACTGAGTTATTTAGGCTCTGCACCGTAACTTTTATTCTTTCTTCCTTACTTTCCATCTTTTGTTTTTTGTTTTAAGAGAACACCCCCGTAGTCAGTTTTGGTCCGCGGGGCAAAAGCCCTAAAGTGGGGTGATCAGACTATTCCATTACCTCCAGGGTTTAGCTGATAGTAATGAGATAGTCTGATCATCCAACTTCCCCCTATCCGCCACCTGGGGACGCGCCCGGTAGGAGACTGACAAACTCCCTCGGTTTTTAACCTTTGAGATAAAAGCCCCAAAAGAGCATGAAATCAATGGCTTAGCCACAAATTGTGAAAAAGCATAAAAAACCTGTCTTGCCTTACCTTGTTTTTACCCATTTTTATACCCTCCACCAGAGTATGGAGGGTATATTAATTTTTGTCATTCCGTTTGTAACTTATTGAAATATACATTTCCGACCCTATAAAGTATATATATTTTTGGTCGGGGTAAAATTCTAAGACGATCTAGCCATGTCCGTCCGTCTGTTGTAATCACGGTATTTTTTGAAGGAATTGAGATAGATTGCCAAAAGATTGCATAGGGTCCAGGGACGTACGCAGGGGGGGAAATGAATTTTTTTCACAATAAAATTATGTTTGCAACAGCGAATTTTTTCATTTTGTACTGCCGGGCCCCCCCGAAATGAAATCCTGTGTACGTTGCTGATAGGGTCGTCTTTTGTCTATAGGCAGGTCAAGTTCGATGATGGGCTATATCGGTCCACGTTTAGGCATAGCCCTTATAAAGGGTACTGCTTAATTTTCGATATTTTGGAACATTGGATTATTTTTTGGTAGCACATGTCTCCACTAAAAATTATAAATATAGATCAATTTTTTTCGGGTAGCCCTCATATAAGGGCACCCCCAAATTTTCGGTATTTTGGGGTTCTTGAGCGCGTTTTTCAACCGAATTCGCTGAAATTTGGTACATTGGGTTCTTTTTGGTTACAAAATTTGTCCATTTTAATTTGTAAATATCGGTCCACCTTTTTATGGTAGCCCCCATATAACGGTATCCCTCAATTTACGGTATTTTGGGGGGTTACGCGCGTTTTTAAACCGAATTCGCTGAAATTTTGTAGGATGGGTTCTTATTGGGTACCAACTTTCCTCACTAAAAATTATAAATATAGGCCCATTTTTTTTGGATAGCTATAGTTATTAAAATAGTTAGGTGCGTATTCTACCATAGTATAGGGGATAATCGCTACTCGAAATAGTCAGTTTTACCCAACAATTATTCCGCTTTCTAAGGAAATTTTGATAAAAAAAACTCGAACCTGACGATAATCCATATAATTATAGCTCCTGAAAGAAAGAATTGAGACACAAAACAAAAATATTGGGTTCAAAATTGACATATGTCGGTAATTAATTAGGCATAGCCCTCATATAATTATAAACCCAAATATTCAGTAATTCCTACACTATGTAATCTAAATTGCTGTAGTTTAAGGATTGTATATTCTACCATGCGTTACCTATATTTTCCTCTCAAGTATCTGTCAGTATAACTATGGTGGATGGTATTCAAAGTTCAAGTTTTCTCATACACTTTAATAATTTCGGAGATATAAATGGGTTACTTTAAATGTCTAGCACATGGTTAGACATGGTTCGGCCCGCGAACCTAACGACGTATTTACTTGTTTTTGTTTATATAAAATTTGTCATTTGCCCACACTTTCATGATTAAATTAAAATTCATTCGTCGAATTAGCCTTGGCCATCTGTAAGTTAAAATACCAATAGAAGTCCCAAAATTTCGTATAGACATATACAATTTTGCAGACACATATACACTTCTCATACATCTTTGATATTCGAAATTGGATACATCTGTTCATGTTTTGGTATATCCCCTTCCCTAAGTGTTCCTAATTGGTAATTTCGTTATTTCCTGGTAGAAAATGTACAATGTAGGTGTAAGTTTTGGCATATCCCCCATATTCGAGTCCCGATGGATTTTAAATATTTCGACTACAACTTGGATGGATATGAACATGAACCCCCCTGCGTTCGTCCATGATATACCTTATTATAAAGACTGTTTATCAAAAATTGCTGTTGTTTCTGGTCGAATAACAATTTATATTGAAATAAAAAAATGTATATTTTTTTAACAAATATTCTTGGCATTCATACATTTTCTTTATGTGACGAACTCACGAGGTAATAATTTTAGTACTTCCTAAATTCATAAAGTAAAATTCTGTTAACAAAATATAAAAATTATCAGTCATTTGTATGCATTTGACACAAAGTATGTGTGAGCGGTTTGCAAAATATAAAAATTATCAGTCATTTGTATGCATTTGACACAAAGTATGTGTGAGCGGTTTGCCTTAGGCATTTCAAACATTTAAATCAAGCAATTTTAGATGTACGTACATATGTGTGTATCTATAAAACCCATTTACTGACGCATTGTATTGAGTTTTTTTAAATTACCTATTACAACATATGACTCATTATATCCAATAATTAGTACTACTGAAATATAACATCTGCAATCATAGTAGTTTGTCGAAAGAGGACAATCTGCCAGTAAAACTATTTTCTACTTCATCACTATATACCGTAAGGATTAATAATGTTTGACTAATAATTTTTATTAAAAACAATTTTCTATAAGAAATTTAATTCAATATATAAATTTTGTTACGTTATGAATTGATAAATCTTAAAGCAAACTAGTGTTGCCAAAATATTCTTAGGCAAAATATAAAACGATTTTATTTGTTGATCAAATCAATTTAATAAAGGTTCTGTTCCCGTACTGCAAGAATCTACTATTCTTGACAATTTTCTGATGTCATAAAGTAAGATTTGTTAAAAATTTAAAAATTGTTGCTTAAAATCTTCTTATTCGATCTGGTAAATTATCCAATTATTTGTACTTTTTCGATATATCGTATTAGACGGCAACAATAGACAAATAGTGAATGAATATTAGCGTGGTAACAACAATTTAAATCGTATTAACCCACCAAGGAGACTTTAATTTAGAATCCGGATTTCACCCCAGAAAATATGCAATACAAGTTTTTCTCAATTTTCGGTGTGTTGAGGTTCCTAACTCAGTTTTCACAGAGCATATGAGGGCTGTTATATATGTATATACCTATATAAAGACGATGTATGAAATTCATCCATGTTTATATCGGAAACATTTTACCATTAATCAGCTAACATATGTAGTCCGCTGAAATATTTTATGTTAGTGTGGTTCCTTTAAAATAAATGCTGTGGAATGTTTCATCGAAATCAGTTCAGATTTAGATATAGCTTCCATATATAGTTTCTCCGATTTTAAGTAAAAAGTGCACCAAAGTCCCAATGATTAATCGATTGCCGTAAAATTTTGTACCATGTACTGAAGCCCAACTTCTTTAAAGTTTCGTTGAAATCGGTTAAGATTTATATATAGCTCTCATATATATTTTAGTCCGATTTTAAGTTAATGGTACACCAAAAACCAAGTGTTAGTCCGATTGACATAACTTTTTGAACAACGTACTAAAGTTACTATAACCTAACGTTTGGAAAGTTTCGTTGAAATCCGTTCAGATTTGGATAAAGCTCCCATATATATATATATATATATTCATCTGATTTTAAGTAAATAATGAACGTACTGATTTTAACTTAACGTGTAACAAGTTTCCTTGAAGTTAGTTCAGATTTCAATATAGGCTACCTTATAAATAGTTCACCAAACTCCTCATGTGTGCCAGATTGACATGCAATTTTGCATAAAGTACCTCATTGAGCATAGAATAACGCAACTGCGTTCTGTAGAAATGCACACTATCCCCTATTAATTTTCGACCGACTTCGTGTTAATTGGGCTCCGAAATATTAATGGGTGTCCGATATTTGCTTTAAATCGATTTACATAATTGTGTCCCAAACGACTATATATCTGTCCAAATAAAAAGTTTATTAAAGGTTGCAGTATGGCATGTTTATGGGCTGTTCTAAGGGTATCATAAAGTCGGCCCCGACCGAAATTGTGATAAAATCTGCAGATATGGAAACTATTCTACACTGACCGTTTTGTTATTATTGATTTTCACGTTCGCCAGTTATGACCCTCAGAAAGCCGTTAATTTCTACATGACGCTGGTTTTGTTCAAAATTACTACAAATTGTTTGACGGAACCACTTTCAGATTCTAGTTACCCAATAAGTATTATTATTATTCTTGTGAGTATGAACACATCAACACTGCATTTATAAATTCATAAAAAACAATAGATATTCCATTGTTGAAATTTAATTGTGCGTGTCGGTTCGATCATCACAGACGTGTGCTCCTCATTGATTTGGTCGGTCGGAAAATGTCATATTGGACAATTTGTGTAATTTTGTGCTTGTGGCTTTATTGGCTGTGGACACGCCGGAAGTATTACGCTTTGATGTTCAAAATACCGGGACCGATAGGATATCCTCTTTTGGGAAAGGCTCTACATCTGACTGGCAAAAATGGTTTGTGTGAACTGTGCATTAGTAGGTTATATACTATAATTTATGTGGATAAATTCAGTGAATAATACTAAAAATAATGAACATTTTCTAAAATGAGCTGAAATGTGCAATGCAAAGGAAAAAAATCAACACTTCTCTTCATGTGCTTCAGAAAAATTGTCACGTTTTTTGTCGGTGGAGACAATAAAATATATTAATAATAATAAAACAAAATTATGAATCTATAATGGACATGAGGTGATATAAAAATAGTAACAAAAATATTACAATTATGTGAAACAATAACAGTGACGTTTTGTCAGTGCCAGTTTTATCTATGAAATCGAAATTAAAAGCCAATTTGATTGTTCGATCAACTCACTATGAAAACGAATGTTGCCAATGAATCAAGTGTTCTACATTAAATTTCAAATTAGTATTTTGCTCTTAGACACCTAATGATAGAAACATTGCCGTAGGGTCTGAATAGTGAAACAAGGTAATTAACGAACACTATAAGTTGAAATGTATAAAAACTTTGTCATTGCGTATGTTGGGTAGGATGAGAGTGTGCAGTTTGGTAAATTGAATGTCCTCCTCTACGTTTAACTTGTTACATTTTTATTTTAACGTTGAAAATGTGCTCAACATCCCCAAATTCCCGAATATTGGGTGTACCTTTATATGGGCGTTCTTCCTAAAGGTGGACTGATATATCCCATTTGAAATAACTAACATTCTAGATGTACTAACACTGTCTTAGCAACAATCTATGTTAAATATTGTGGTACAGCAGAAAACTACACACTTCCAAATTAGTCTTGGACCTTAAATATACCAAAAAGGACGAGTGAAGATTGAAAAAAGATGTTTGTTTGGTAGTTACATAAGCCACGCAATGAGAACCGAAAATACTAAATTACAGCCACATCGGTTGTAAAACGTGCCCAACATCCCCGATGTCATTAGGTTTCTAAACGCAAAACATTTTAAAGAACACAATGAAGAAGCACCGAATAAACAATTTTCAATATATCATATGTTTATATATTTAACTTTCATATAATTTGTTTAACAAAATACTAAGAAATTTCTATGAAAATTTGCTAAAATTGTTTGTCCTAAATGTTCTTTATACCACCCTTTTAAAACGACATCTAGAAAAAACTCGGAATAAGATGGGTTTCAAACCTAAAATAAGTTTTCATATTTTAAAGGTTTTTGACGGTTTGGTTGATTTTCGGGGTTTGGTCTATTCTGAATTTCATAGTAAAACTTTATGGCGCACATTTTTGTAAGATATTTTGACCTGGGTTGGGTTCTTATTGGGTACCAAATTTCTCCAATAAAAATCATAAATATAAGTCCACTTCTTCTGGTAGCCCCCATATAAAGGCACCCCCAATTTTCAGTTTTTGAGGGCTTTTGACAGCATTTTTCGCCTGAATTGGCTGTAATTTAGTACTTTGATTTCTTACGGGTAGCAAATCTCTCCAAAAAATTGTAAATATTTGTATTTTGGGGCTCTTCGCGTTTTTCAACCGAATTCGCCGTAATTTGGTATTTGATTGTTGTTGTAGCAGCCCTATTGCGTTTACACAACGGGCTAAGGTGACAGACGTTGGCCGAGTAAGACTTGGGTCGTTTAGAATCGTAGACCCCTCTGTCGTGAAAACGTTGGTATTTTGTAGTCGTATATGGTAACAAATATCCATCCAAAAATGATTAATATTCGCCCCCATTTAGGGGTCTTTTTTATATATTAAAATAGTTACCTGATTTGTTCCATGTGTTGGGGTTGTCCCCATATAGGCGTATTCTACCATAGTATGGAGGATAGTGGTTAATCAAAGAGTCAATTTTTACCCTACAAAGTATCGGAAGGCATTTAGGCATCTCCCCCATATAATGGTACCTCCAGAAGGAACGAATTGAGATACAAAACTAAAATATTGGGTTCGAAATATTCGCTAATTCATACACTATGTAATCAATATTAGTTCCCTTTTAGGCATAGCCTCATATAACTTTGCAATCTAAATTGCAGTAGTTTGAGATTTTTAGAAAAATCCCCATTAAAATTGCTGAAGTTTGTATTTGGTATACATAATGCTTAACATAAATCGGTTTGTAAAAAAGTGGACTTATACAGTCGAATTCGGATAAGCGAACGCCGGTCTAATATTTCGGATCAATTTTCAAACACTCTACTTCGCTTAAAAATAAAAAACCGGTCAATTGAAAATCTGTAAAAGAAAAAGAATTTGTTGTTGCAAAAACACAATTATATATGAAACGAGCACAGTTTAAGAGAAAAAAATTAATTTTTGTAAATTTTAATATTTTTTAATTTTTATGTGCAACCACATTTGTCCAACCATCCAAGAAAATATCTACGAAAAAATAAGTTCTTACTCAATTAATTTCGTAATATGATTTATAAATTTCACGATTTTTCAGATATTGATTGAAAACTATCCGAAGTTCTTTTAATTGAAAATTCTGCTTAAGAGAAATTTTTTCTGAAATTATGCGTTTTCGCTCAACCGAATTTGACTGTACCGGTATAAGTAAATTTTTTTGTATGTTCCCTATATTTGCAAGTATTTGTCAGTATACCTATGGTGGGACGTATCCAAAATTCGGTTCGGCCGAACTTAACGCTTTTTTCACATGTTATTTTTAGATTTCTTTTCTTATTTTTTTTTTGTTTTTAAAGACGGATTTTTTCCAAATTATATATGACGAATAAACATTTGCTTCCTGATTACACAAATTTGTTCGACCGAACTTTTTTCAAGGTATGGGTATATGGGAAATTACAAAATTCGTTTAAAATTCATAGGTTGAAACAAATATGCTGATTCGAAATCTTTTCGCGTTCACAAATTCGGATGCTGCGCACAAAAGTTATAGCGGTTTTAAATCTTGTATTTCAAATATAAATTAAATGAATTCCTATTTGTTGCAATTCGTGAATTTCTTCACAAATGGATAAACACATTTGTTTTCATTGCATACTTGTAAAATCACATTGAAATACGGTTTAATAGTCACGAAAAACAAATAGAAGCATGAAGATATCTGAAAATAAAATAAATTAATTTTTTAATGAAGACAAAACGTTTATTTGAACTTTCGATTTTTAGTATCGTTAAGGCAATACGGTTTTGCCTTACTTCTAAAATCCGCTTTCTTCTGCAAATTCACTTAGACGATTGTTAAATATCGGTAGATTCATCTAATAAGAGTTTCGACGTTAAAAATGACTAAATAATTACATGATCAATATTAAAAATCATGTAATTCGCGTATTCGTGGAAATCAATTGTTGCGCATGCGGGTTTCTTATAAACCGAATCAATCTCTTCCAATAATTTTTCGATGTATCATTTAGCGGCTAAAGTGTGCCGCTCTATGCACTTTATTATGCAAAAACTGAAAAAAATGGCTAAAATGTCGCAACGTGCATAAGATTTTTATGCGCATCAGATTCCAGTAATCTCCAATGAAAATACACAAAAGTACATCTATTTTAAAAGAATTGGATAAGAACCGCGGATGGATAAAATAGGCATATTATTCGCGTATCGATGTATTTTTATCCGCCGTTCTATTGAGCGGAATTGAACATGGCTGAGCTCATTAGATTCGGCACGTAAAAACACTAAAATCACGCGAGGTTCAACGGCAATTGAATGGACCTTCTTAGATTTAGACACAAAAAATAAATTTAGACAAATAAAAATTCACGCAACAAATTTTCGTCAAATTTTCATCATCCTTTTTGGAAATCATAAATTAGAAACCTATTGTACATGGGGTTTTCTGCAACTTAGTCACTGATCACATGTGCATGCGTTGTGTTACAAATCAGGAAGGAATACAAAAAAAACTTGTTGGCTTCAACACATTTTCACACATTTTTTTACATTACCACCATTACAGCTTCCAAACAAATTATTATTTATTACTTACATTCTAAGATTTTGACAAGAACACTTAATTTTATAGAAATGAATGTAAATTATATGAAATATGTCCATATATCGCAAGTTATAAGCTTTCAAACCTCAGTTTCAAGGAATTTGAAACATTTTGGTAATTTCCCATATGTCCTAGTCCGACTTTACTACTTTCCTTACTGGTTAATATTGAAATAGTTACCTGATTTGTTCCATGTGTTGGGGTTGTCCCCATTTAAGCGTATTCTACCATAGTATGGAGGATAGTGGTTAATCGAAATAGTCAATTTTTACGCTATTAAGAATGGAATTTTAAGACGATTTAGTCCTCTGTTGTAATCATTCCGCCTTTTACGGATGTCGTGATAAAAAACTCGAACATGACGATAATGAAATATATCGCGCGGCATTTAGGCATCGCCACCCATTCTTCTTTCCTGAAGGAAATAATTGAGATACAAAACTAAAATATAGGATTCGAAATTGACATATATCGGACATTAATTAGGCATAGCCCTCGTATAATGATAACACTAAATATTCGCTAATTCCTACACTATGTAATCAATATTAGTCCCCCTTTAGGCGTAGCCTCATATAACTATGCAATCTAAATTGCAGTTGTTTGAGGATTTTATACTCTATCATACGTTATCAGTCCATGTTTTGCGGGTTTTCAGATTTTAGGAAAAATCCCCATTAAAATTACTGAAATTTGTATTTGGTGTACATAATGGTTAACATAAATCGGTTTGTAGAATTATCGGTATAAGTCCACTTCTTGGTATGTTCCCTATATTATCATTGCAAGTATTTGTCAGTATACCTATGGGGGGTATCCCAAATTCGGCTCGGCCGAACTTAACGCTTTTTTCACATGTTATTCTTAGATTTCTTTTCTTTTTAAAAAATAGCCGTATTTTTCCAAAATTATATATGACGAATAAACATTTGCTTCCCGATTGCACAAGTTTGTTCGGCCGAACTTTTTTCGGGGTATGGATATATACTTAGAAAACTTTTAGCAAACATATTTTACAATTTACAGCCAGTACTGTAGAAAAAATGTTTCTAAATCGTTCAAAGTGCAGAAATGGAAACCTGCCAAATGTAGACCTATGCAAAATTTTCTGTTTTGAAAGCGGAATGTTAAATTACAGCCAATTTAAGAGGATAATCCAGCCAAAATTCAAAACCCAGGCAATGCAAATTTCAGTTTCTTTGGTTGGGAAAATATGATTAAAACTTTAAAAGTACCGAAAATGGGGGAGTACCGTTTATGGAGGCTATACCCTAACGAGGACTGCAGTTAATATTTTTAGGGGAAAGAAAGCTCAATGATAAGCTAATGACAGCTTAACGTGGCCGTGGAAAACATTGGCAAATTATTTTATAATTGGAATTAATTATTCTTTCAGATCCTTTGGACGTGATACACACACACAGCGAATTATTTGGTCCATTGATGTATACATGGCTGGTTACCTACCCGGTTTTGGTTGTAACCGAACCGGATATTATTCGTGATATATTGACGTCACCGTATTGTACAAATAAAGGTGTACTGTACAAACCGATTAACAAAGGAGTTGGGATAGGTCTATTTTCTTCCGAAGGTAACTTGAAACGGATATAAATTATAAAGGGCTAAACATCTTCTATTTAAGATCCCGAATGGAGTGTTCATAGGAAATATTTAAATCCGGCATTTGGTCATAAAATATTACTGAGTTTTATGCCAATCTTTAATCAGGAGGTGAATAAGGTTTTAAAACTATTCAAAGAACTCAACGAATGTTTGGATGTGATTACTTTGTTGCAAGATTTCACCTTGAATGTGGCTATAAGTGAGTTCTGGCTTTCGATTTTAATACGTTCATATTGTAATTGAAAACCCTTTTAAATTAAAGGAACGACCATGGGAGTTAATGGAGCCGACGAGGTTGGAAATGGACCCAATACTGATCTAATAAAAAGTTATCAGTGGTATGAAAAATTTTTTTTTTGTTAATTCTAAAGAAATGTGTATTATCTGTGACTGTTTTTAGTGTTGTTGAAAATATGACTGAAATGGTGTTTTCGCCATGGTTGACTAATAATTTTATTCGGAGGGTGTTTGGAGTCTACGAACCATTCAACTCATGCAAAGCAGACAATCGCAAGTTTATTAGAACGGTGAGTTCAAATAGAAATTGTTTCGCCACGCAAACCTGATGAAAGATGTCAGTATATGTAATTATAAATTAATAATAATGTGTCGTGTGGGATCTTCTAATGACTAGACCTTTTTTGTAATTAGCCCTATTAGGCATCTGGGGTAGATTTTCTTATTCAACAATTTGAAATATAACATTTTAATAATATGCTAATTAATATTACAGCTTATAAGCAACAAATTAAATGTAGATGCTGACACTAATCTGACGCGAGGAGAATCTAAAAATATGAATATCTTCATAGATCAAGCCATAGAACTTATGAAAAAGAATATTTTCACAGTGCAGCATGTGGAAGATGAATCGAATACAATCGTATTAGGGGTAATATATGAGTTTTCATAATTTAAACCTCCATTTTTTATGAATTTCAATTTTATATTTATTTGAAGGCTTTCGAGACCACGGCTAATACAATCGGATATGTTCTTATTTTGCTTGCAATGTTCCCGGAATATCAACAAAAAGTCTATGAGGAACTATTGTCCATATTTCCAGATGGTGGAGATTTTGACGTGACCTATGCAAATACTCAAGATATGATCTATATGGATATGATTATCAATGAATCTATGCGTGTACTGACACCAGTGCCATTAGTAGCACGTGAGAATTCACAAGATGTCAAGCTCTCCAATGGAATAGTTATACCAGCGGGAGTTCAATTTGTTCTTAACATTTTCACCATGCACAGACGTAAGGACTTGTGGGGTCCTAGAGCTGATATGTTTGATCCCGATCATTTTCTGCCTTGTAACATGGAAGACAAACATCCGTATGCGTTTATTCCGTTCACAAAGGGAATACGGAACTGTATAGGTAGGAGGACAATCATGTCGACAAATAAAATACTCAGTATGTTGTCTATTGATTTAATTTATAAATAGGTTGGAGATATGGTCTCATGTCAACGAAGGTAGCCTTGGCAAAGTTATTAAGGAATTTCACATTTTCAACGGATTTCCAGTACAAAGATTTGGAATTTTATAACTCAATTGTGCTGAAGCTAAAGCATACTCCCGTTTTGAGAATTGCAAGGAGATAATTTTGCAAAAGATATTGAAAACATTATATGGCATATTAATGAAAATCTTAAAGATTTAGTTTAAAAACATTATCCAGGTTTTGTTTCAGTATTGTACGTGAGGATTGCTCAAACTGACGACCTTACGATCTTTGAATACATAAGGTTAAAAATAATTACAAATGCCAAATTAAATTTTGTATTAATAAATAATTCACGAAAATATCATTTTTGTATTTGTTTAAACAAAGAATATTCCTAATATCCGAATTGTGTTTAATAAAATTGAAATTATAATACATTTGACCATTACTATATAATTGTTGTACTTCTTTTGTTGTTGTAGACGTTGTCAGTTGTAAAAAAATCGAGAGTCTCTGATTTTTATATTTCGAGATTTTGTACCCTCCACCATGAGGATGACAATCAAAATATCTAAAATTAATTAGGGCTCCTAGAAGAAAACTCATTTTATGATAGGATGATTGAAATTCTCAACATATCTAATAGTGGGGCTACCGTTATATGTGGCTATATTTAAACAGATAAATATTTATACCCTTCACCACACTGTGGTACAGGGTATTATGTCTTTGTGCATATGTTTGTAACAGGCAAAAATAATCGAGATAGACCCATGGTTCCTTTTGAGAATATGCATAGAATCACTTTCTGAGTCGATTTACGCATGTCCGTCTGTCCGTCCGTCCGTCCGTCTGTCCATGTTAAATTGTAAACAAAGTACAGGTCGCATTTATGATCCGAATTGGATGAAATTTGGCATAGGTCACTTATTTGGCCCAAGGACGAACCCTATTGAAATTGGGAAAAATCGGTTCAGATTTAGATATAGCTCCCATATATATATTTAACCGATTTAATGTAAACAGTCCCTATATAACTTTCGATTTGCACGAAATTTAGTACAGCCTAATCATTTAGGTCTAGAATGATGTCTGCCAAGTTTCGTGAAAATCGGTCCAGATTTAGATATAGCTCCCATATATAGTTTCGTCCGATTTCATGTAAATGGTGCCCCAAAGTCCCTATATATCTTTTGATTTGCACGAAATTTGGCATAACGTACTGAATTAAGCCTAGAGTGATGTCTGCCAAGTTTCGTGAAAATCGGTCCAGATTTAGATATAGCTCCCATATATAGTTTCGTCCGATTTCATGTAAATGGTGCCCCAAAGTCTCTATATATCTTTCGATTTGCACGAAATTTGGCATAACGTACTGAATTGAGTCTAGAATGGTGTCTGCCCAGTTTCAAGAAAATCGGTCCAGATTTAGATATAGCTCCCATATATAGTTTCGTCCGATTTCATGTAAATGGTGCCCCAAAGTCCCTATATATCCTTCGATTTGCACGAAATTTGCTACAGCCTAATCATTTAGGTCTAGAATGATGTCTGCCAAGCTCCGTGAAAATCGGTCAAGATTTAGATATAGCTACCATATATAGTTTCGTCCGATTTCATGTAAATTGTGACCAAAATCCATATATATCTTTCGATTTGCACGAAATTTGGCATAACGTACTGAATTGAGCCTAGAGTTATGTCTGCCAAGTTTCGTGAAAATCAGTCCAGATTTAGATATAGCTCCCATATATAGTTTCGTCCGATTTCATGTAAATTGTGCACCAACATCCATATATATCTTTCGATTTGCCCGAAATTTTGCACAACGTACTGAATTGAGCCTAGAGTGATGTCTGCCAAGTTTCGATAAAATCGGTCCATATTTCTATATAGCTCCCACATATAGTTTCGTCCGATTTCATGTAAATGGTTCACCAAAGTCGCTATATATCTTTCGATTTGCACGAAATTTGGCATAACGTACTGAATTGAGCCTAGAGTGATGTCTGCCTTGTTTCGTGAAAATCGGTCCAGATTTAGATATAGCTCCATTTTATTATAGATTGATTTTATGTAATTGACGCACCAAGGAACCAATAGGAACAAAACGTTCTAAAGTTAGTATAACCTAACCTGTGACAAGTTTGTTTGAAATCGCTTAATATGTGGATATAGCTTACATATATTTTTTCGCCCGATATCAAGCAAATTGGGCATCATACTCCTCATGTTAGTCAGATTGACATCAAATTTTGCACAACGTACAAAATTGAGCATAAAATTACGTAGTTGCGTTTTCTAGAAGTACAGACATAGTCAACCGGATGACCTATTTATATTTGTTTGAAGTCGATTTACACACTTTATGGACAAATCTAGGTAGATTCACATTTAGATAAATATCAAATATTTTATTTCATCCAATTTCATGTTAATAGTCCTGTTTAATGTACCCATAGTGGTGAAGGGTATCCTAGAGTCGGCCCCGTCCGACTTTACTACTTTCCTTACTGGTTTTATTTTATGGTAGAGAGATTTGACAGCCACTGAGATTACAAAATACCAAATAACAGCCGAATTCGGTTAAAAAACGTGTCTAAAATTCTCAAAATACCGACATGGGTGAATATTAATAATATTTAGTGCGGATATGGGGTGATACCGTTATGAGAACCCAAAATACCCAGTTGTAGTCATCGAATACTCCGTTTGCATTGTAAGATATTTACACATTCGAACACGATCGAGTTTTAGTAAATATATTAGGTTATGTAAAGTTTGGATCAAAACGGATAATCATTTCGCAGGATATTATAAATTATTTTTTCAGAAAAAAGTTTTACTATTTGTAGGGGAGGTACCAGAAGAAATCGTCTGGAAGAAATATAACGATGTGCATAGTTTGATTTAAATCCTTAACTCATTTCGAGAATGTTGTGGCTACTCAAACCAAAAAAACCCTTAAAACAAAGTTGTGTAGGATATAAAGATATAAATATAATTAGCGGGACAGATCACCAAAATAAACACCGGCAAATGGGTATTTACACGGTAAATAACATCTCTATGCATCATCGATTCAGGCACATGTCGAACGTTGTAAACAATTGTCGCAGAAAATTTTCCATAAATCGATCTCCACATTTTAAGTAAAAAATACTTCTTCTCTGAGGGAAATATGGTAATAAATATTATGTTCACCAAAGCTCAAGACGTACTAATATACTAAATGATTTGTACTTTATATATTTCTTAAATTTAAAATGAATGAACCGAATATTCAGCGGGTTTCCTTCGTCTTTTAGTTGTAACTAATTTCGAATAAATTGACTCCGTCAATGAATTTGCATATAATTTATTTCGTGAACGACTGACTGCAAACCCTCGATTCGAAGACAAGAAGAACTTTTGTTTAGTTCACTTTAGCATTTCGAACTGTGCATAGCCAAGTGTCTAGATGGGACTTCCGAAATCATCATTGTCAGTATGTCTCCAAACATAAGAACCAGACTGTCAAATATCTACAACAACACCTCCAACTATATCAAGAGCAATATGGACTATTTGGTGGAGATTTCAATAGTGGTCCTATTCTTTGGAGCTTTGTTAAATAAATTCTTTATTATAAATTAAGCATGCATTGTTTTGGAATGGGTTTATTTTTTTTTTTTGTTTTGTTTTTGATTTTTCTGTTTTGGATCGGAATGTGACGATCGAAGCGAACCAATAAACAGAGTACACGTAGGTGTAAACAATGTTCAGTACATAAATGTCAATTGTTTTTTGTTTTCTTTGTAATTTGTTTTTTTTTTATTTACTTATACATTTGTTTTTATTTAATTTAGATTCGCAACAATTCGATTAATAAATGCGTACTCAAGTGTAGGTTAGCTAATGCGGGGAAACAATATACTTAACTATACAACTACAGTTAGACCTTATTTTAAACCTTTCTCCATCAAATGAATGTAGAAAGCGGGATTTTGGATTTCATTCAGGTCCTTGAAATCCCCAAAGATTTGGTGTTCAGCCTTGTCACCGAAAATTTCTCTCATTATTTTGGTGAATTGGCTCAGAGTGTGTGGATAGTAGGTCAGGCGGAATTCGCTGGTCAAGTTATTGGCTTCGATAAGGTAGTCCATGGCGACAAAAGTAGGCTTGCCGCAGTAAAACAATACTGAGGTCTTAATGTCGGCAGTGTGGCTTGACTGTAACAAAAAAATAGCAACAACAAAATCAAAGGTATGTAAGTATGTAGTAGTAATTGTTGTAAAATAAAAATACGACTTGTATACAAAAGAAGACTGAATCCAAAACCATTTTTTTTCAACTTTAAATGTATATAAATAAAACATTTAAGCTTTTGCTTGTTTTTCCATTAAGTTTTCAAGTGTATGAGTAATCCAGTGAACTATTGGTCTGTATTTGGAATTTGGTACAATGTAGTGATATTAATTCGAGCCTATCTACTATAATATTGTAAATCGCTTATATTACGTGACAATATACGAATGGACAACACAAACTTTGGGCATTTTAATATTTATACCAAAAATATATATTTGGAGTTTTTGGTGTTTCCACCACATTTAAAATGTCATAAATGAAAAAAAATATATATTAAAATATTTTTATCCCGAGTCTTGTGGCTAATGATTATATACACTTGTCTACAATAAAAATACGTTTTATGGAAATATCGGTTTTCGATCCCATGCTTCTTCGGACCAATCCCAATTGGATAATGCTCCAAATATTACTGAAAATGCAATATTATAATATTAAGCGAATGGAAGATCCAATGTGAAGCTTTAAGAGCCATGTCTTGTAGTAAATTTTCTATACTTAGATTTATTGTGGTAGGACTCAAGATGAAATCAGAATGTATTGTAAAACAGTCATTTGAACAGTATTTTTTCTGAGGTTGACATTTTACAGGATCTATGTGAAAACCTACCTCCGCGAAACCGGAATGTCAAATTTATATAGACCAGTAAGAAAAGTAGTAAAGTCGGACAGGGCTGCCTATTTGGGTATGTTAAAGAGATGCTTCTTAATAGACGTCGCATTTTTGAAGGGTCATTAACATGAAATTGGATGAACTAAACTATGTGATCTTTATCTAAATGTGAACCGATTCAATCCATATACATGCCATTCTGCAACCTATACTATTTTTTTTTTCATTTGGACAGATATAGAGTCTTTTGTTTGCAAAAGGATACATTTGTGCCAATCGATTTAAAGCAAATCTCAACTGGACACTCATTTATTATTTGGAGCTCTATTAACACGAAGTCGTTCGAAAATATATAATAATTGCAAAATATATAATAATTGCATTTTGTACGTTGTATAAAATTTGGTGTCGATCTGATAAACTTGAGGAGTTTGGTGCACCATTTGCTTGAAATCGGACGAAAATACAAGCTATAGACAAATTTGAACTTATTTCAACGAAACTTGCCATAGTTAGATGCTATATCCAAATCTCAACCGCTTTCAACTAAACTTGACGTACGTAAGATTACACTATCTTTAGTACTTTGTTCAAAATTTTGTGGCAATCGGCATAACTTTATGTCTTTGGTGCACCATTTTACTTAAAATCGGACAAAACTATATGGGAGCTATACCTAAATCTGAACCAATTTCAAGAAAACTTAATACACATCATGCTCTAGTATGTTGAGCAAAATTTTACTTTGGGTCTTTGGCGCACTTTTTACTTAAAATTGCACGAAACTATATATGGAAGCTATATCCAAATCTGATCCGATTTCCGATCCGAAACTTATACAAACTTCAGTGCATTGTGCAAAATTTTGCGGTAAACGGCTTAACATTGGGTCTTATGTTTCCAAATACTACAGGCGTATACAAGAGGCGTTGAAGACCTTTCAACTGATAACAATTACATTAAAGCCCGTTTAGACTACGAAATCCAATCGATCTCAAATGTCAATTTCATAGCGTATACGTCACCTTACTCATGTTCACAAAATCAGTGGATTATATTATTTGACGGCTATTTTTAATATTAAGAACTGATTACTCGCATAAATAGCACATAGTTTAAAAAAAACATATTCACTATCTCTACTGAAATAGTAACATAAAACGCACGTTTTCTATGATTCTGACCTTAGAACTGATTTAATGTAGCCCCCTCGGAGATCAGCAATCTGAGATCGTTGAAAAACGTGTGGTCTTCTAATTGTTTTCTTTGAAAGACGAGATAAGAATGGCATAATTGAAATTTAAAGGTTAAGATGGCGATAACATTGCAAATTTTAGGATTTGCTATTTTGAATATTCAATTTGTTAAAATTCAATTAAAATTTAAATCTTTGTGGTATGACGTTATATATGTATATATTTAGACATAGGCCGACTTTTAAATGCCCTAAGTACAATATTGCAAAAATGTTATTTTCTGAATTTTTAAATTTTTCAAATTATACTTTGCTGTTCAAAAAAATGTGAAAAATATTTTGGAAATTCTGATCAGATGGCGAAAATCTCTGTATGTTACGTTCCGAACACATAACATATTTCTAATAATTGTTTCACTCGAATTTTGAATACTTACATTGTAATACAAACTCTTGGCGGGTGTGGCTCCAGTCTCCAAAATATTATCGTAGTTACGATGATCGATAATCAAAACGCCACCTGGTTTCAAACACTTTTCGAAATTTTTAATGGCTTTCTTGTGTTGTAATTGTTCGGCTGAAGAGTCCATTAAATGGGCAAATGAGTTACCCAAACAGAGGACAGCATCAAAACCGTCTTTAACAACATCCTTGATGTCATCGTACAAACTCAACCAATTGGCTTCTTCAATGACTGAAATTATTATATAGAATTCGGAAATAATGAATATTTTTTTTGAAGTTCATTTAAATGTCATTTGCAAGGCTTACCCCAATTGTCGAAAGCGGCTTCCTTGCGACGGTTCCAGCGTTCTTTCAAGGCATATTTCAACATTTTGTCGGAAGCATCTACAGAGACAACTTCGAAACCTTCTTCCAATAACATAATGGAATCAACACTAATTGGAGAAAAATCATTATCGAAATTCCAGATAAATTGAATTAAAATATCTACAGTAAATTAAAAGCCTAGAATCGATATTTTGAACGGATCGAACTTTTTATACTCTCCAACATTATTTACGCATTAAAAAAATCAAGAATCTGTCGGTAAATGTTCATGAGGCTATATCATTGTAAATTATTTTATCCTCTGAGAAAATGAAATATCAAATTACAAATACTCCATATATTTATATTAGACATAGAGCATATCGAATATGGGAGCTATGACATGGACATATATTGATTTCTTTCTTTTTTTTTTTTTTTGGAAATATAGAATATCAAATTTCAACCACTACAGTTGGAATAATGAAGCCACTTCAGTTGGACAATACAGAACCAATAATTGAACGTAGCCTTAACATGGGGCAAATGGACAAATAGTAAATGTTTTCTCTGAATAAGTTTATTAACCACTAATAATCGGAATGCAAAATTACAGCGAATTGGGTAGAAATAGGGCCGTAAAATACCTAAATGGCGGCGGGACCCATTTTTTGACCCAGTCTCCATTTATACAGGTTTTTGCAAAGAATGGCAAATTAAAAAAAATGTTTCCCTTCTGATAATTATCTGCAAAGAAGTAATTGTTCCCATCAATGAGTATGCTAAATTTTAAAACTCTATCCTAACGGATTCGGCTACGTTCATGTGCATAGCCGTAATTTAAATATAATTTTATTCTGATCAATAATAAATATCCTTTATGGGGTCTCCGGCAAATATTTCGAAAATATGGATAGAGTTTTAAAATTTAGAGGGAATTACTTTTAACAAATTCGACCAGAAGTCCATTTAACTACTAGAACGTTGGCAACGAAAATTAGGTGGGTTATTCAAATTTCAACACTTTGGTTTCTAATTGTGACAGTTTTCAAATTATTATTTTTTAATTTTAATTGTGATTGATTTCAATCATAATATCATTTTAATACACCTTGTATCGACTTACCCTGTGCCGCAGGCAACATCCAAAATACGCTTACAGTTCTTGGACTTCAACAGATTGATGAGGAAATTTTTGTAGTTTTCTGTGCGGGAATTTTTGTCACCAATGAAAATTTCCCAAACCTTGGCAGCTTTTCCGTCAGCATATTGATCGCGGACACCCTCGGCCGCAATACCCTCGAAACGGGCAACAAAACCACTATCAGCTGAATTGGCAGTCATACTGGGAACGATGGATGTGTACTTGATCAAACGACGTGAAAGACCTAACTAATTTCGTACTCCGAGACGACTCTTAATAAAAACTCGAGGCGAGCAGCAGCACAGGCCAACGGCGAATTCAATCGTCAAAAGAAAGCAACATCTATCAACCTCTTAATCCAGCAACCACTATTTATTGGCAATGAAAAAGTAAGCAATACCGAAAACGAGACTCACAGATAACACCCAAAATTTGTAATCAGTTTGTTATTTATTTTTATTCTGTTTTTGGCATGATGTGTTGTTCTTCTTTTTCTCCTTTGCTAATTTCACAATTCCACCACCATTCAATGCGCAACGAATTTAAAATACCTTCCACTATCACCCATCGTTTAGTTGGGGTCTAATTTCTGACAAAAAATATTTCTGACTGGATGTAGGGTGTTATCGCACAATAGCCGGTTCTTAATGGTATAAACTCACGGAAGGGCTTGTTTTTAGTTTTTTGTTTCTATTTTTTTTCCAATTTCTAATCTTATCAGTCCAAGAGCGGCGTAATGACACAGTACTAATTCCATGCTTGTTGTTTGTTTACTACAACTTGGATGAGACTGACCTTAGAGTGATTAGAATTATTCTATTATAGCGAAAACTATCACCGAATCGTGAAATTGTCCCGAAAACATAAACGCTGATAGGTACCATGTAAATAGCGATGGATGCTGTTGATTGAAAAATTATCGGAGCTTTTAAAGCTAAAGCTAACAATTGCTTTGACACGGGAGATAGTGATCTTAGATTAGCAAATTTTCTTTGTTTACTTTTCCTGTACATGAATCAAAGAGTAATTTAAGATGGGTTACGTCCCAATTATACAAATGTCAGGTTCTAGCATGTAACTCAAATTAGGCAATTATTGTGAAAATAATGATTTTTTGACTGGTGATTTGAGAACATTGAATTTCTTTGACATATTCCATATACAAATGTATTATCAAGCTATCGGTATTTTTATTTGAGTGTAAGTCGAATATCTATATCTATATATATAAAAATGGAGCCAAAAAAATGTATACTAACGCATCAATTGAGAACGACTGGACCGATTTGACTCAAAATTGTTTTCAGTTGTCGGTAATTACTGTGGGAAGGTTTTTATGAAAGAAAATGTTGAGAAAAATCCGCGAAAATGTTGCAAAATTTTTTTTTAAAGAAACGGCTGGACCGATTTGACTTAAAGTTTCTGTTAGTAGTCTGTAATTGAAGTGGAAAGGTTTTATTGAAAGAACATTTTAAGAAAAATCCGCGAAAATGTTGCAAAATATATTTTGAAAGATATTAGCATTTTCACACATTTTATACCGAACATTTATGGTTTCATCTCTTCGTAGTTCTTTTTGGACATATTTTGGTCGAAAATGACAGTGTATATCTTTATGTAATTGTCAGTTATGGAAAATTCTCAAAATATGTCCATTTTCTACAATCAATTGGATTGTCTTTGACTTGAAAAAAGTTGCTGTTCGTTAGTCTCGCTAAAACTCGAGTACGGCTGAGCGGATTTTTCTTATCTTAGTTTTCAAATGTTCGTGGAGCTTCAGGGAAGGTTTAAAAGGTGAGAAAAAATCGAAAACCGCAAAAAATTTGCGAAAAAATATTATGAAGCATATTTGCATTTCCACGAATTTAGTATCGAGCTATTATGATCGCACCACGTCGTAGTTGTTATTTTGAGATATTTGGGCAAAAATAGATAGCGTATCAATCCTTTAAGCCTTCATTTGTCAATTATTGAAAATTTTGATTTTTTCCAATTTGATTAACATTGTATTGAAACGTTTTTTGTGAAAATTCAAAAAATAATTGAGAATATATCATTGAATGTACACGCGATCATTGTATGTGCACGTTGTCCATAGAATGCACGTACATTTTGGGACAAATGCAAGGATGAAAATCAGAAGATATTCGCAATAGTTTTGATCCTAAGATCCATTCCCTAGATCATTTTTTCTTAAAATATGAATAGTAATAGTTCCATGAGGACACGTTATTCTTTAAAGTACTTAAAATGTTGCTAGGCACGGGAAATATCAAATCAGGTGGTACCATTATATGGTGGTCAATGCCTTTGAACTCATAAACACAACACCTCGCATATATCCGATACCACAAATGTGTATCACAAATAAAACTAATATACGATGCCATTTTCTGTGAAAAATTCATTAAGTATATATCAAAAAAACAAGTGATGTTTTTTTTCGTATTGAGCCTGTGACTATAAAATTGCAAATACCTTAATATATCAAACTAGCGGGCCCGGCAAACGTTGTCTTGCCTAGCAATATTGTTGATGTATAATTTTCGGGGTTCTACTTATATGATAGTTGATATTGAAAATTTAACATTACATTAATAATATCAATAGCAACCCAAGTATTCGGATAGCTCCCATATATATCCCTTAATATTCAGTATTTGGCTGAAATTTTTTATTCGCCCAAGCTTCCAAATATCCCTCATATAATTTTTAAATCTAATCGGCATTAATTTGGTATTTGGTTGTTTTATTTGGTAGAATGAATCGTACTAAAAGTATCTATATTGGTCCACTCTTTGAGGTAGCTCCCATATAACGGTACCCAAAATATTCGGTATTTTGGGGAGTTGGTTCCAGTGTGTCAACCAAAGTGGTAGTAATGTTTTATTTGGTCCAAATTTTCTCATAGAGTTGGTCTAAAGTATTAAAAAGGCGCCATACATATTTGAAGTTCTTAACCCTTTTTCCAACCTGAGTGTCTGTACATTATTTTTAAAGAGCATGGGCAACCTACTGTCACATAGTGTTGTAACATTGTTCCCATATAAATGTCCCGACCGATTTAAGGAATCTACATATTAGAAGATATGCAAAGTTAGATTTAAGTTTAAGTTTATTTGATATATTAAGGTATTTGCAATTTTATAGTCACAGGCTCAATACGAAAAAAACATCACTTGTTTTTTTGATATATACTTAATGAATTTTTCACAGAAAATGGCATCGTATATTAGTTTTATCTGTGATACACATTTGTGGTATCGGATATATGCGAGGTGTTGTGTTTATGAGTTCAAAGGCATTGACCAACGATTAGGCATATAACCACCATATAATGGTACCACCTGATTTGATATTTCCCGTGCCTAGCAACATTTTAAGTACTTTAAAGAACAACGTGTCCTCATGGAACTATTACTATTCATATTTTAAGAAAAAATGATCTAGGGAATGGATCTTAGGATCAAAACTATTGCGAATATCTTCTGATTTTCATCCTTGCATTTGTAGCTGGAACCGTAGCGCTTCGCTGCCCCTACTAAAGACCAATAAAATCCTTCATTCCCATTACCATTACCTTTATGTCTGTATTCTCATCTGATTCCCCATTGTAGTTTTAGTAATTTAGTTTAGTTTTGTTTTAGTAATATCCCTTTGATCAACTAAACTTAATTTCTCAAGTAATGTACATATTTTGTTTTCAGGTCACCTATGATGATAACCCACCACAGATTATAGATTTTTATAAATTTTAATTCATCATTCGCATTTCGCTTCTGTATATCTCCCAATTATTGCTGATGCATACTTTTATTGAAATTTTCAAAAATTTTCATTTCACACAAATTTTATTCCAATGTGTATGAATAATACAATGGAGAGATGGAAAGCAGTAGACGTTACTGACCTGATGGCTATAAAAATTACTGATAATAATGCACTGATAATAGGACAAAAAACTATGAGTTGAAAATTTCAGATATTGACCAAATTTTACTTCCTGGTCATTTAAGATTGGATTTGTACTTATCTGAATATCATACATACTTTTATGAACATATTTATTCAAGGTATTCAGATATGTGCATAAACAATTAATATTAGTTCAGAACTATGATTACGGTTGATGCTATAACTCTTCGTCATTTTGAAAGTTTATTTTGCATATCCTACTTCCATGTGATGGCATAACTGACTGCGAAAATTTCTGCAAAGTCTATTCAGCGAATTTTGTGTCTACAAGCAAAATAGTTTCTTTTTTCCATGTATAGATAAATTAAATTCAATTGTGAGTAAATCGTACCCCGCTCATATTTGTATGCATGATGTGTATTTACACCTACGCTATTCAGACAAATTTTGAAGACTGTGTCTATTACCGTTATATAGATATACGCATATTACATGTACTGAAATTTCTAGGTGTGTTCCCTATTTAGGCTATAACTCTGCATACACGCGGAATTTTAGAAGTTTATATATCCTTTGTTACTTTCATGACATACTGTGTAAATCTAATTAACACCTGTTCAGCGGTTTTTGCGTCTATTGGTAGCATACAAACAAACATTTTTTTCTATTGTATATACATAGATAGTTTTTTTGAAGCCAATGACAATCCAATTAAATGTAGAAAATTAAAATATTTTGAGAATTTTCCATAATTGACAATTTCTTAAAGATATACACTGCCCATTTTCGCCCAAAATATGTCCAAAAATAACTATGAAGAGGTGAAACCATAAAGGTTCGATATAAAATGTGTGGAAAGGTTAATATCGTTCAAAATACATTTTGCAACGTTTTCGCGGATTTTTCTTAAAATGTTCTTTAATTAAAACCTTTCCACTTCAATTACAGAATACTAACAGAAACTTTAAGTCAAATCGGTCCAACCGTTTCTTTAAAATTATTTTTGCAAGATTTCCGCGGATTTTTCTCAAAATTTTCTTATATAAAAACCTTCCCACTGTAATTACCGACAACTCAAAGAAATTTTGAGTGAAATCGGTCCAGCCGTTCTCAATTGATGCGTTAGTATACATTTTTCTTGCTCCATTTTTATATATATAGATTATACCTTCAGCTTTATGGCATTGATACCGCAAAAATGTGCCTCATTTAGAACCCATGTTTCTTTGGGCCAAATCCGTTTCTGGCGATTTGTAGTCGATTTACAAATGTCTGTCCGCACGATAACTCTC